AGCTCTGAGCTGGATACTGATTACAGTATTTCTATTGCTGATACTAGTGATGCTGATATCCATACTACATACAGTCTACATCTAGATCTACTAGTAGTAGATCCTAGTAGTAGTAGTAATAGCACTAAAGTAATACTAGTAAAAGAAGAAGTGTGACCAAACAGCTGATTGCTGTTTTGCTGTATTTTCGATCGATAACCTTAACCTCAATCACTTAAGCGTGCGAGGATACGATTCAACCTCGAGATACGGTTTAACCTCAACTCTAATTGTACATTCCGTACGATTCATTCGTATCGTACGAGTGACTCAATTCATTCGTACGTACGAGTGACTCAATTCATTCGTACGTACGATTGATTTATTGTTCGTTTGTCGTACGAAAGCCGGATTTCATCACTCCGTGCTTTTTGTTAGCATTTTTATGGTGATTTCTGACCATGGTTCGAACGATCATCATTGGTGCTTCATTTGTTATTTGTTACATCGCACGCCACCACCAGCAATCAGTTAGATAAGCTGGCATCTCATTCCCGTAACTTTATTGTTTTACCATGTTTCTTATACTTCAAAACCCTACCGGCTCTACGACTAAAAAGATGAGTATACCATGTTTCTTCAAATTCCACCCCCCCAGACCCCCCCTCCGCTTTGCGAACCAATTACAGTCAAAACTGTTTTAGTCTTTTTTTTATGTTTCGACTTCCATGATTTCACCGGTGCGTATTGCGAAAAAACCGTTCTACCGTGAAAAAATGCGGGGTGATGATATTTATCCATTTTCGACCACGAATAAAATACGAGTTTTTCTAATCTCCGTGGCCCGCCCCTCTCAATTACTTCTATGACCATTGCAGAACAGTACCGTATGGTACCCGTACGAGTACTACTCGTAATAAAAAGAGAACTTTTTTCTGCATGTCCGAAAAGGCCGTCTAAAACCTAAAACTTCTTCTCGGAAAGCGAAGCAACGTGAAAAGATAGTAAATCAGGTACGAAATTACGAGCAGGGGTCTAAAATTATGACCCCTGCGAACGAGTACGTACGAGCTGCAACGTGTCATGGGTCATAAATATTTYACGATCCAACTTTCAGGGATTAGAAAATCTGAGTTTCGAGGGGTGGGGGGTCCGAACGATAAAAATAGTACTTCTAGGTGAATGGCTTCATGCAGTACGTACTCGTACCAGCAAGCAGTACTAGGCAGGGGTCATAATTTAGAGGGGTGTGCAACGCGTCGAAACTCATATTCCACCTTTGGTCCAAATTTCCAAAAAGTCACCGAAGGAATTTTTTTCACTCTCATTTTTACTGCATAATACTAGTAAAACTATCCAACCTCTAAGCAGTTACAGCTTTATCAAAAATGCTACTATTTTAATTTTTGAGTAGCCAGTCTAGTCCAGTTTTTTATGCTGATTCTGAAGGTACCATTTTGTTGGATATTAAATTGATATTTGTGGTACTATTTTACTGTTGAATAATGAACATAATTTCCATACTAGTAGTAATACTAGTACTACTAGTACTAGTAGTACTATTAATACTATTACTTGTAACACAGTAGTAGTTGTTGTATCTTCCAAATGGTTTATTGTTGTGTAGTATGATGTGGTAGACAGTGGAACCTGGATATTGAGATCTAAATTATGACCCCTGGTACTAGGCACGTATGGCACGTGAACTTTCTTAGAGAACCATTGTGATTTTCTTCAGTTACAGTGCTAAGTGCAGAATTAAAAAATACTGTACTAGTGTAGCAAGAGATGGTGATGAAAATGGAGATCCTCCATATGGTGATGAAAATGGAGATCCTCCTATCATAGCAAAAAAGTTAAAATCTAATTTGAGAATTTGAACTGCCGAGAAAGAACAGGCACGAGCAGAACGATAACTGCCCGGAGCTACAGCAACATCCCAACAGAGCCACTACGGTGGTCTAGTTTGATGAATAGCTTGTAGGGCAATGGCAARCCTGGCCAATTGAGCGCAAACCCATGAATCAAGGTTTGATTGGATGAATAGTTGAACAATTTGGTTTGCCACGCGAATGTAGAGAACCCTGGGTGCGTTTGGTTCGCAAGCCGATCTCTCCTCCRATGTAGGATTCAAGTTGTCGTGTGTTCAAAACCGATCGATGAGTTTTGTTGTAGTGTCGATGCTTTTTCAGTTTCTTGAAGGGATGTCTTCGGCTTGCCGCTTTCGGGTTGTGGTTAGGGACAAATTAATTACCATGSATCCACTTCGTCCGCCTGGACCGTTGGCTTGCCACTGTTCCAATTGCAACGTTTGATCATTTTTATTCTTTCACTATCGTGTCGAATGATGCATGTCGGATCGATGGATAAAATATTTGCGAAGCGGCAATAGCCACCACGACCAGTCGAGATGCATTTCGCTTCTGCCATTACGAGTAAATCGACGAACGCAGAATAAAAGTCGGAAACGTTTCCCGACGTCCAAGTTTTCATCTTGTCTAGATGCAACGCCTCCTGATCGCCGTCAAAGGTGACAATGTGACGGTCGGGATGCTTCTCGTTTATGAATCGAGCAGCATTTACGGCAACTTGCGAATCGCTTGCGAAAAAGATGGGAACCCCTGGTTGAACCTGAGAGGCACAGTTGAGGGCGTTCCTAGTTGATTTTTGTAGCAAAGCGTCTGTTACTTTCGTTTTGTCGTCCGCGACATGATGAAATGCTCGGTACTGCGCGGCGGCAAATTCTCCGCGGACCAGGTTTGCCGAATCCAAGTGCTGTTGGACGAGTTTCGCAATGGGCGGGGCGGGTTGGAAAATCGAGAAAAAAAGGTCACGGAAAATGATTTCGTAGTCCGGCCATCCCGAAAAGTCGCCTAGCTGATTTTCCTTTTCTTTGTCCCATGCTTGTGCATCGTCCATATCGATAWCCAATCGTTTGTAATACTTGCTTCCTCCATAAAAATCCTGTACCATTCCCTCTAGAACCATTATTCTTCTGTACTTCCTCAAAGCTTTAAACATCATTTTGGTACTCGGAATCCACATAGCCTGCGGATGTTCTTCGAAATTGTCCACTTTATCGGGTAGCCAGTCGGGTACCGACCAATTGATTTCGTTCGGAAGAAGGAATTCTTCTAGTTTGGTGGGCCGGGACCATCGAATCAGGAAAATTCGTTTGTAGCGAGCTCCGGCTGCAATAAAGAACGGTATCGATTTCAGCCTGTCCGCAATTCCTCCGCATTTTCTCTCTGCAGAGGAGCACCTTAGAATAAGAAATTKATAGTTCTTGTAGTTACATTCGTTGAGCGATGATGTCTGTTCCCTGTGCCAATCGAAGTAGTCTGTGGCAAACACCAAACCATCAATACCGAGGAAGTTGGATGCCGACCCCCAAAACGCAAGAACGCGTGTTCAGAGAAAAGGGCGGGTGCGCACAAACRGAAACAGACGATAAAGAAGAAAAGAAGCGGTAAGCCAGCGATAGCGAAGAACGGGCGGGGCGTTTCCCGGCCCACCAGATCGAACGATGGTTCGCAGCGAGYCACGCCATACCTTTCATCCACTGCGGCAGCTTGTCGGAGTCCCTGTACTTGGTCGTGGGTGCAAAGTCGAAGGGACTGTTTTTCCCGGACGGAACGCACCCGGGTTCGGTGTAGTCCATGGTTTCCAGGGTCGTCACCAGCTTCGAGGCTTCCTGCCGGGTCGTTACGATGTTCGTCACCAGCTGCGAGGCTTCCTGTCGGGTCGTTACGATGTGCGCCACCGGGGCGTCCGCGGGGGGAGGCGGCGGTACCGAATCGCCGGGGGGCTGTGATTCTCCGCCGGCGAACCGCTCGCGCAGGGCTTTTGCCTGCTGCCCGCTTGTGTCGCTGGGTCCATCCTGGTACCAGGTCTTGACCTTGTTGACCCGTCCCAGGAGCAACAAGTGGTTGCAGATAAAGAACCCGGTGAGTAACACGGTGGCCTGTACAAGGTASGACGGCAGAATGAAGCGGAATTTCATGCTTTTTGTTGTTGCTGCTCCTGCTGCTGTTGTTCTGGAAAAATTGTTGCGCGGAAGAAGCCTCTTGGGAAGAAGCCAGGCACCCACTGCTGTCGCTTCTGTTGTGGTTGTGGGTTTGTCTCTCGGASGAGACGACGTAGGGGCGTGACTTTTTCCAAAACGGTGTTTTTCCCTGTGATTTCTCGTCCAGTCTTGTCCGCTTTCAGTAGCTCCTGCATCTCGTACGGTACGCACGGTTAGTAAAGGTAAATATGGTTCATAATTGTCCGACAATTCAATGCGCCATGATAATATTACATATGTGTACGCTACAGGTACGGTACGCTGCACGTACTGGTATGTACCAGATTGAAGAACCGTACGGTATCGTTCGTGTTTGATAGAAGTAATTTTTCTTCTGCTCCGAATGTCTGAACCTGAATTCTCATTATTTATGGTTTTCGATGAAACTTTTTTCGGCCGTTGCCGCAATTCGTACCGTACAGGTTTGTGTACCGTACGTACGGTACGTTTATTTTTGAGGACGGGGCTATTGAGGAAAACGGCAAGCGTGACGGGTATGGATACGTTAAATCGCGCTGGTACGACAGTTCTACGGGACAAAGAGGTGCAGAGTGTGGGTATGCTATGGATACGTTAAATCGTGCTAGTACGACAGTTCTACGGGACAAAGAGGAGTGTGACAAACTGTGGTACGAGTAGTACTACTCGTATGCAGGGGTCATATATTAAATTTATGACCCCTTTTATTGTGGTACGGTATGTACGTACGCAAAAAGTATGGTTCAAAGTACCGTACAGTATTGTGTACCGTAGCACAGGTGTTCGGAGGGGGATTTTGTTTCATATTAGACGTTTTCTTGGAGTTAGGGATAATACTATAATTTGGTGGGAATCGAGCAATATGATTGGCTAATAAGATAGATCAAAATACAGTTTTAGAATTCGCAGGGTCCTTCTGGTTGTGAAACGTTGTTGCGTGTGCCAAAAACAGTTTCGATAATTTTGATCTGTCTAATTAGCCAATCAGATTGCTTGATTCCTACCAAATATAGTGTTATCCCTAACTCTAAGAAAACGTCTAATATGAAACAAAATCCCCTTTTCGTACGATACGAACACCTGTGGTAGATCGAGAAGAAACCTTGAGTACTGGTGTCCCGAAAACTAGCTGTTAAAAAAAGGCAATGAATGAAGGAACAAATTCGCGTCAATTATAAAAAAGTATCATATAAACTTGTAGCAAGTAGTGTAGTAGTTGTAATCGTCCCACCCCGAAGTGGCACTGTCAGTGTTTGTCGCGGCAAGCCTTCCGACTCATCGAAAACGAAATCGCATCGAATCGCATCGCATGTTGCATCCTATCCTATCCTATCCTATCCTTTCGTATCCAGTCGCACCACAAAAGTAGAAGTAACGTGTCGTAGGTTGGGTGCAGCGTGCATCGCCTAGGAGGTGCTCAGGGCCGGAAGAATAAAGTGAAAGAGGCCGAGCTTGGCCTGGAGGGGGTTCGAGCTGAGGGGGGTCGTCCCGTCCTCGCCGAGAATGACAAAGTTGTACTCCCCGGACATGCGTGCCAGGACGGGCGTCTTGTCCAGCATGGGCTTGACGTTGAGGGGTGCCGTGCTGGTGTACTCGAAGGACTCCCCGGGCTTGAGGATCGGCTGGCGGCCCGTCACGCCGGGGCCCGAGACGACGTCCTTGTGGGGGAGGCCGACCGACTGGATCTCGAAGCGGCGGGAGACCAGCTGGATGGGGTTGCTGGATTCGTTCGTGATGCGGATGCTGTAGGCAAAGCAGTACTTGTCCTGGCTGGACTCGGACCGCTCCGGGCGGTAGGAGGACTTGAGGGCGACCCGGACGCTGTCCGTGACGACCTCGGAGGTGTCGTTGAGAGGGACGGAAATGTTTCCGGTCTTCATGTCGTCGTCACCGGGGAGTGTCGAGGAGGGGGACTTGGACGACTTGGCCTCCTTCTTGGGGGCTTCCGGAGCCACCGCGGCCTTGGTGTCTTCCTCGTCGTCCTCGTCTTCGTCCTCCTCCTCGTCTTCCTCGGCCCGGTAGGGCTTGACCCGCTGGTCCTCGGGGAAGATAAAGTGAAAGACGCCGAGCTCGGCCGTTTCGTTGCTGGCCGTATCGGTCTGCRTGTCCGAGGCGGTCGTCTGTCCCTCGGGGAGGATCTCGTATCGGTACTCGCCCTTCATGCGGGCGGCGACGATGGTGGTTCCGATGGGGCGGACCGAGAGGGGGGCGGTGGAGGTGTACTCAAAGACCTCGCCCGGCTTGAGGACCGGGGTGCGTCCGGTGACGCCCTCTCCCTGGACGACGTCCTTCATGGAGGAGCCGACGGTCTGGATCTCGAAGCGGCGGCCCASCAGCTGGATGGTGTCCGTGGGAGATGTGTTGGTGATCTTGATCGTGTACTGGAAGCAGTGCTTGCGCATGGGCGGGTCGGACTGCTCCTTGTTGTAGACGGAGGAGACCTCGACCGTGAGGGGCCCGGTGGCCGTGCTGGAGGAGGACTCGACGGGCACGTCGATCTCTCCGCGGATCACGTCCTCGTCACCCGGCAGACGGGGCCTTCCTCCCGCGGCTTCGGCGGCGGCGGCCTCCCGTGCCCTGGCGGCGCTTCCCCCTCCCGAGGCCGCGTCTCCCGTGCTAGCATCGTCGGTCGAGGCGACTCCCTTCTTTCCCAGGCCGAGTTGCCTGCGGCGGGCCGCCTTGACGTCGTCCTGGGCGGCCTTGAGGGCGTTCTGCATAAGCTCGTGCCTCGAGTTGGGAGCGTCGGGGTACTTGCCGAGGATCTCCTTGGCCCGYTCGCGCTGCTTCTTGCGGTCCTCCTCGATCTCGCCCATGATGCGCTGCATGGTGCGCTCTCGGCGCTCCTTGGCCTCYCGCTCCTCCTTGGCCCCGGGGTTCTGCATGTCCTCCTCGTACTGCTGCTTCTTCTTCTCCTCGTTCTTGATGCGCTCGGCCATCATGGCGCGGCCCCGGGCCACGCGCTCGAGGCGCATCTCTTCTTCCACCATCCGGGCGGCCCGGGCGGGGGAGATGCCAATGTCGTAGATCTCCGTGTGGAGGGCGTAGGCCTTCTCGTTCATCTCGACGTCCGGCGGGGGGCCGCCCAGCTTCTTGGCCAGGTCCTTCAGGTGCTCCACCTTCTCCTGCGGCTCGCCCATCTGGATGGCGTCCCGCAGGCGCTCGTTGACGCCRAACCAGGGATCGCGGACCGTGCGTCTCTTGAGGTCGTTGTTGGCTTCCACCCACCCGGCGTAGTCCTTGCGGAGGCGGAGGTCGGGGAGGTCCGACTTGCGGATYTGCCGCATCACGGTCAGGTTTTCCTTGCGCTCCTCCGGAGACATTTTCTGGACCAGCTGGTCGTCGGGGATTCGGTCCWTTTCCTTGTCTTCGTTTCGGAAGTACCGGCTGGGCCGGGGTTTGATCAGGGGATTGGGGTCGTCTGGGTCGAGCACCAGGCCGGTAAAGGGGCTTCTCACCTCGCCGAATCGCGACGAGAGATCGTAGTCGTCGTCGTCATCGTCGTCCTCATCCTCGTCGTCGTCCATTCCAAGGTACGATCCGGAGGACATGTTCAGGGCCGACGAAGGGGAAGAACGCGGATTCAGATCCAGGTTCAGGTTCGCCAAGGCATTGGCATTGGCGGTCACACTTGTCGATCGCGCGGGGCCGGCTGGAACGGTCAGCGACGCGGGGACAAAGGCATCGGCGTAGGGCGCGGATCCGGCCCGGGCCAAGAGGGCGACGAGTGCCAGTTTTGTTTGCGGATTCATGTCGTCGTGATACAATTTAGTTCGACGCGGTGTGGGTGTATGGGATGCGMGGATCGGATGGGGTACTTCGGCACTCTTGGATTCGTCCGGGTAGATACAGGTACGGTGGGTCGATGGACAACAGTAGTTGTTGGTGGCGTGGGGGTTGGTGTAGTAGTTGTAGTTGTAGATGTAGCTGTAGTTCGGTTGGCGGCAGTAGCTTTACTTGCTTACGGCACGACAATCAATGAGAATTCAAGGTGAGAAAGGGCGAAGACCAAATTTCAAGAGCTTTGGATAGTCGTGCATATGGTTCTGGGATAGTATTGTTCGGCAGTCTGTTCCAATCCGAACGAAAGCATTCGTATTCGAACGAGAATAAAAACACGCTCATCGACGGCGTCGTCGAACTAGTACYGCAGGGTACCAGTACGAGTGCTAGCAGACGATTCCAGCACGCAAAATCAAGCTCGCGCAGCCAGATTTTCTCGACGACTCACTCATTTTCCCTCGCTCACTTAGCATCACTGACTACCGGCATCGTACGTACCGTACAAATCAACAAGTGGAAAACAGAGAGACGCCGCGATCTTTTTTTGAATGATGATGATGATGATGCGGTGACTTTGTCCTTTTTCTTCGGATTTCTTTCTTCTTCTTTCCCTCCTGGSCAAACCCTGCGTGACTTTCGTGACGCCATCCGTCTTGCGTGTCTCTATCCCATCCTCCGATTGGTCGATCCTTCACCGCCCGACGCACGCGGGGTTCAAAAAGAATTTAGAACCTCCAGCGAACAGCTGGCGGTCGATCGTGCAGTGTACCGTATGTGCCATTTGATTCAACGCGATCAATCAATCCAAAAGCAGGAAAGTGGGAGGGGGGATTAGGCGGGGATCGACCCCCAAACCCCCAACAGAAAGAGCGTACTAATGTACGTTTTTAACCCATTCTCTTACCGTCCTAACCATATGCGGGGGCGCGGTGYKGGGTTGCACGGCTACGGTACGCGGACATACCGTGTGCATGCGAGTCGGGGATATTTTCTTGCCGTGACGTTTTTCTCTCCAGTCAAAACCAAAAAAAATAAGGCGTCAGTCGAACTAATCCACATTTTTTTCTTTATCCGATCCATCCAGAAAGTCTTGTCGCACAGACTTTCGGAGACAGCCGGTACGAACTCGTACTATTTCATCGCAGCAACAAGACTTGGTGCTGCACCAAACCAAACCAAATTCAAACCAAGTCATGGAGAAAGAGACTATCTGGATCGACGCCTGGATTCGATGGGATCGCAACTCGAAGGACGTCGTCGATGAGGACAAGAACCTCGTCGACGACGACGACGAMGAAGAAGAACGGATCMCCCCCACAGCCGAATTTTCCTTYGTCTATAGGCTGCCCTCGCTGAAGAACAGCAGCGACGATACGCCCCCACGCGAGCTCAGCCTTGCGCTYAGGGGCTTTCCGTCCGAGTCGGAACAGATCTGGAACTCGACGGGACTGACCCTGTGGCCGTCCTCCCACTATCTCTGTGAGTACCTCCTCGACCACTACCAAGACCTCCTAGGAATTCGGAAAGACGGTGTCAAACACGAGCACGATGGGGAATGGCAGCCACCCGCAAAACCCAGCGGCAGCYGCACCCTTCGAGCCGTCGAGCTGGGATCCGGTCTGGGGCGCTGCGGGCTGTTGCTGCACCACATACTGGCGGCGCACTTCGGAAGCGGCGATGGCGAGGAAACAGGAGGTAACGGGGAGCAGGAGGGTGCCATCGGTAGCCGTGTCTACCTGACGGACGGGGACACCGATGCCCTAGCCCAGCTCCGGGACAACGTGGCCGACAACACCGGCCAAGCCGCCGCCGYCGGCAACGATGCTTCCGGCCACGAGGTTTCCTGTCACCAGCTCTTGTGGGGGAGGGAGTSCACTGAGGCYTTCTGCGAGCGCCACTGCTCCAMCGGCGACGGTYCCTCGGCCGTGGACCTCGTCTTCGGGTCCGACCTCGTCTACGCTCCGAGGGTGATCGGGCCCCTCTTCGAGACCGTCCGCGCCCTGCTGGGGCACGGGCGGGGGCGGGGGGCACCGGAACCGGCCACCGCCCCCCTTTCCCCGCCGCCRGTCTTTCTGATGGCACACTCGGACCGGCGCCAGGGATCATCCGTGACGCTGCCGATGGTCCTCGAGGGGGCCGAGCGCGAGGGCCTGCGCCACGACATCCTGCAAACGGTGGAACGGGAAGGGATCTACGTCATTGCTTTTCGGGCTTTGGCCACCCCCTGACGATGGAGGAACGAACGAACGAACGAACGACCAACAGAAAGACAAGAAGAAAAGACCGTCCACGCAACTCATAGGTTTGTGGTCGTGCGGCTCGACAWGCGCATTCTACGAACTACACCGCGAAAAAGAAGAAATGCAAACGCCGGAAAAATATTGAAAGAGGAGGGCTTTCTACGAGAAGGCCTACAAAGTGTCCTCGTGGACAAATATGAGTGTGTCCCTTGCCCTGCTCGGAGGACGAATGTGGACTCAAGACTAYTGTGTGTTCGGTGGATGTTAGTTAGGCAACGCGATTTTAATCCATGATTAACACGCTTGTTGCTGCCTCGTTTTGCTTCCGAAGAAACGCAACTTCTTGCTCCAGCGCAAGCACCTTATCTTCGGCGGTTCGMGCGCGCGTCTCGGCAGCGCCGAGGATTTTGGTGATGTCTGCCTTGGCGAGAACCGCTGCCGCGGCCCGCCGGACGGACCTTTCCTCCACGCTTACCAGCTGTGCCAGACTCGAAAAGACCCCAACTACGACATGTTCGACACCGCTCACAGTCTGCAGCACTTSGCAGATTTTCAGAGCGGACTGGACGTTTCGATCCACTTCCGTCGGAGACGACTCGAGAGATCGAGCAGCCGATAGGAGAACCTGGTTTGCGAGGCCGTGCATCGATGTGTCTCTCGGCCTTATTTTGCACATTCCCGAGAAACAAGCCGCGAGCAAATCGATGAAATCTTCGGGGTTTTCAGTCGTTTTGGTGCTTTCTACGCACTTTGTAGCTCCCGACAAAAATATTGCAGAAAGGTCTGATGAGTAGAATGCCGGGGCATTGTCGGCACAAAAGTTGACAAAGGATGCTACATCCAGCGCATACAAAATTCCACATTCTTTGGATCCCGCGACGAGTCCCGGTGAGAACATTCGGGATAGTGTCAGACACACTCGTTCCCACAGATTRTCCAGGAGGCCAGCGATGGCTTCCGGTGTGCCTCCCGGTACATCTCTGAGATTCTTTGCGCTTCCTAAACCTCCTTCCATGATAGGGATTAACATCTTGTACGAAGTTTCTCTTGGATTCGTCTGAACCACGCCGTGATTGTCCATCAGGAAAAGCGATAGCAGGCGGACGAGAACTAGCACTCGACACTGGTCGGACAATGCTCTGCTGGAAAATTCCTCCAGTAGAGCGTTTGAAGATTCGTGGCTCAGTATACTGATCCCCTTTTTGCATTTTCCACTGGTTTCTCTTCCTGCATAAAACGCCGCTCCAGCGAGCACAGTGAGGTTGGAGAACGCCTCGGGAGATCCATTCGATGCCATCAATTTCAGGATATCAATACAAGCTCGCTGTGCTTGTGATAAAAAACGGGCATCGGGGCCGCTGGAAGTTATTGTTGCTATGCTTATCACGACCCGGACAAAACGCACCACCATGGCATCGTCGTCACCAGGTGCTGTGAGAACAGGCGCAAGAAGAGAGTCAAAAGTGATGWGTTTTGAGAGCGTCAGCTCCTCTTTGAACTCATTGTCCTTGCAGCACTCATAGAGTTTGCTTAGTTCACTTGCCAACTTCGTTAGAACCTGAACTTGCGTCGGCTCGAGCACTGCTGATGCCCCAGCTTTGTCATCGTCCGATAATTCACTTTCCAAGTGATCACGAAACGACTCGAGAACATCAAAGGCATCCAGAAAYAGGTTCTCGCGCCACATATCAACAACAGCGGAATTTGTCTCCCTAATGATGGATTCATTGCTGGRCTTTCCCGGAGTACCAACACTCCTTAACGCTCCATTGATAACCTCCATGTTTGTACCAACTCTGGCTGGTGTAATCGCGGCCTGCATCCCCGCAGAACAAGCCAACTGATTGCACAACGCCATTAATTCAACACCCGAGTTCCGTAAATCTAGTGTGTCTCTGCCCCCAATTTGTGTCGATGCATCATATGCCCAACCTAGAATCTTGTTCCACGCATCATCGAACCATGGAGAATCTTTGTCTCCTCTCCCAGTATCGGTAGTTTTGAGAAGGGTGTCGAAAAAGTTGCGAAGCAGCCGACACATACCTTTCAATACAAGAGCTTGCGTCGCAACCCATTGTTTGTCTGCAGAATCCCGTGAATGGTGAACATTGACTTGGTATCGTGAATTCCTTCGCGTCAATTCTGGCTTTGTTACTTCGTTATCATTCCCTGTGTCTGCCGTAGCAGTATCGTAAACACCAAATATAGTCGTGCAAATACAAGATTCCCATTGTTCCCCAGTGAACTTTRGYCCACGGCCAACAATGCACGAAAACAAAGTGTTGACCGAGCAGTTTCTAACTTCTGGCCGTAAATCACCTGAGAGAAGAACAAGTTTAGCAAGAGCTCGATCGACAGACTCTGTGCCTTTGTCTTGGTCTGCGATTGTCCAGAGCAGACCGATAGCAGTCAACGACGTATTCATATCATGTTTGGCGCTTCCAAAGGTTGAGCAACATTCCAACAGCGCACTCCTGGCCAATCGAGMTGCATCTTCCAGAAAGTCGTCTATGATCAACTTTAAGCAGCGAAAGCCAACCTGACATGCAGCAGTCCAATCATAAGAAGAATTATTTGGGGAGGGAACGGAAGCAATCGCTTTGACTATTTGAATCCAGGATTCGTCACTCAGTTTATGCCCCRTGCTCTCGAGTACGGAATATAAGGCTTCTAAACCGGCCTCAGCAGCATCCGCAAGTTCGGCTTTAGAGATGAATTCGCAAAGAGGACCAAGTATATCTAGCTGGGAAACGGCATCTCGGATCGCTTCATTTGGGGCATTTTTTTCTGTTGCCAGAAGCTGATTTTGTCGAGGGTCGGAGTATATAGTTTTTCCAGGGCCAAAGAAAGGCGCGGGAATGCCCTCCTYATCTTCCATTATGTGAGAGACAATAAGCGAGACCATCATATCCATTAAAAACGGTCGGAATGATGGCACTTCTGAGGAAACAACACACAGCTGACGAAATACGTGCATTCCACACCGACTATGTCGGAAGATATTAGCCATTGCAACGTCAGCCAATAATGCAACGGAATAGGGGACGCGTTGGCTCCGAATMGGATATCTTGATGACGATAACCGACYGTCAAATTCGGTCTGGTAGTCATCATAATATGTATTGCTTGTCCGATCGGCAACTAGAACATCCTCTTCCATGACACTGCCGTCAGAGTTCCATCCGATTGCTCGGGCTCCGATATTCATCAATTTTCCCCCCATCGGTCCTCGTTTGTCCTGTGACCTGGAAGAAATTGATTTGTCGAAATTTCTCCGACTAGCACCTCCCATGACACTAGGGATTGTTGATGTTGACTTATCCAAAAGTGATACTTCTTTGATGCCAACTACGAATTGAGAGAGGGATTCGTCCGATAGACAGGTAGAGAATGAAGCGAACCTTGCATATGTTGCTGAAATACTGAGAGCACCCGCATAGGAATTGTTAGAAAGGTTKGGGGAAGCAATTGCAAGGACTGATAACTCTTCAAAMGTTTGAAAGATCAATGCCCAATCTGTACCTATKTGTTCTCTGTAACGATGAACAATATTCAACAAACAGACCAGTGCAGCAACATTGTGATCTTTCAGCACACTTGATGAGCATTTTCTCCCCCATTGAGGAAGTGAAAGCTTACACAGACTTGATAATAGTGCTCCTCGCAGTATTGCAGTACTTAGAGACACTTTTGCCAACGAATTGTAACCYTTTAAAGACATTTTGACAATTGTACCACTAGCTGGGAACCTCTTGAGATAATGCTGTAAAACTGACAGTGATGGAGCAAATGTTTGCTCCAGGATTGATTCGTCCAACTGATCGATCATTACCAGCAGGGCATTGAAACCAGTCCACAATGCATTCCCCAAAATATATATGTCGTTATTGAATCTTCCATCTTGCCATCGTTCGATCTTTTCCAACGCTTCGGCGGAATTCGCCAAGGACTTGCTCCCTTTCGGTCCATGGGAAGCAGTAATCATCATATTCATATGATCTTCGCAGCTCGCGCCAATCGTACAAAAGTCGCTGGTTGCTTCCAGTAGAGTACTCGCTACATCTTCGTGAAGCCACAGCTCGCGGTATGAGTTTTTATCTTGAATGAATGTTTTCAAAGTTTCCAATGACAGAGCAGCTTTCCACAAARCAGTGTTCGGTAATCCCTGGATTGTTTCGATATTCTGTTTACTGCTGGCTGAAGATAAAGGTTTGTTGACTGATTTCTTCTCGTTCGAAACTTTATAAATATAGCCATCTTCAAAATCAGCTTGCTTTCGCAATGCTTCTGTGGCCAAGGAAATTGGTTGGGCAAGCCTACATATYAACTCTCGACACTCAGGGGACCATTCAGAATGTTGAGTCTGAATAACCACCAGGGCAAATTGCAACGCTTTCAAGACTTCCAAAGGCAGAGCGTTTGAYTGAATCTTCGATTGATCGTGCAACACTTGGACGATCACACCAAACGTTTTCTGACCCACTTTTGAGAAGATATCGGGGTTCTCTGGAAGAAGATTWGTCATCAATTCGAAAGCAAGTGATTGCGAWGGCGGTTGCGGTGCATCCCCGCCTCCTAGTCTACAATTGACAAATACTCCATGAAATGAGGAAATCATCTTTCKTCTCATCTGACTGTTGCTACTGCTTCTCAACTCAGCATCGCCAATACCCAAGGCACAAGACAATAARTCATCCCAGGTATTTATTCTTAGTTGAGATGCATTCTCATTCTGAAACAACAGAGACAATACTTGTGGGAGTGTCGAATGAGCAGCTTGGCGGACGTTTTGTCGCGTTGGTAAATATAAAAGGCAGCATAGTGTTACAGATTGAATCCATTGGTCGTTCGAAACAGGCAGTTCTTTCAATTCCAAAAGTTGCAGCAAACAACTTAATATGTCCAACGCAATCTTATCTAAATCTTTCGCGTTTAGATGGCCAGAGCCAGCGTTCCCGTGAGAGGAAGAGACAGCCGTTTTCGTMACTACTGAGTTCGTTGTCATGGTCGTATTCGATCCATTATTCACGGAAGGAGAAAAATATCCCCCAAACCAAGATGATGCGGATCCCCCCGATTTTGAATCTGTGTTTGAACTGCCGTTCTTCGCAACTGTAGATTGTTTTCTTTTGGAGTCTTGAGAAGACCCTTTTATTGCCATTGCTGTTCCCGCTGTGAGCCCCCCCGARCCAGAGCTGCTTTCTTTGGTTGTTGAATAACTCACCACAACTTGAGCTTGAATCATCCAAACCCTGACCATGTTCAGCMCATCTCCTGGACAAATCGCATCTGCCTCCAATAGAGTTTTCATGGCTTTGAAACTCGTGTCCAATAATTTAGGGGAAGCATTGGGATAATTCGTAGCCAATAAAAATGGGTGAAGCAAGTCTGAGCTTCGAAATAATCGTGTATCTGGGTGTTTTTCTCCGCTATTGGACGCCTTTCTGACCGCACTGACGTATTGATTTTGCAGAGTCCTAAGTTTCAAGATTGCGCGTTCGCTTGCCTCTTTAACGCCTGAAATTCCATAAATRGTTTAATAGTACCACATTCCAATTTTAAAGAGAACGAWTGTTAAGAGAAATGGATGAGAGAGAGCGATCTRTGGCAAGTATGTAACGGACAAAGAATATCTTWAGCTGACGATTCCCAGTTTTCGTCGCGAACGCACCAGGATGTTTTTTTCGTGCTTCGGCACCCAAATCTCGGAGATAATCCTCCAACTGATTGACAAAGTTCATCTTTGAAGTTGTGAAGCAGAGCCGAACGCCGCAATACTAGACCTGGAGGAAGAAAGCACGGTGATGAGCCTATGGAAGACGGTAGCGCAGAGCCTATTTTATTTGTTCATTCGGTTCTGGATCGAGCGTGGGGTGCCTCTCTTYTTCTTCGTCACTTTTTGGCCTTTCTCTTCGACTCTTACGAAAGAAAAACGACACTTTGGGGTTCAACTTCGCCCTTGGTTCTGTCAATCAATGRATGATATCCTCCTCACACTCGTACTTTTTACTTGAATGAAAATGGATTCGGTATCTCGTACAACATGGTACGATACGGTATTATCGCTTACACGAAGTACTCCAGCCTACGCGACTCTTACTTTCCTTTTTTATTTGATGGATGACCTCTTGAGGCGTTTTAATAATCGGTTCAGTCTTCTAATCGTGGCTATTTACTGCTACATATGATTGTGTGATACGTATCATATCTTGCTCCTCGACTTCAGTTCTACTACACTATTAGTAGTACTAGTAGTAGTACTTGCACTGCACTACTACTTCTTCTTGTTGTACTGGTAACTTCAAAATTAAAATCATTAGGATTGCGCAACACAACACAAAACGGTATYCGATTAACTCTGTTTTATGGTGACAATGTTTGCAATGGTGCTGCAGCTGAGATCCAAGAAGAACAAAAGAAGAGGAACAACAACAACAAGAAAAAGAAGATTGCTCCAGCAGCATAATTGCAGGAAGACTGAAGAATGGTGCTTCTTSTTGTTGTGCCAATGGGACTTGCTGTTGTTGTTCTTGCACAGCAGCACGCACCAGAGGTAATAGGAGAGGAACTAGTAGTAGTAATAGAACCATCACTTTTTCTTGGTGGGACGAGAAGGTTGCTTGTTCTTCTAGTACTAGTACTAGTGGTAGTGGCAGTGGTAGTAGTAGTACTACTTCTTCTTGCTGTGAGGAGGGACAGCACTCCTTGAGAAGGCGGAGCACAACTGGCATGGTACTACTAGTAGTACTACTACAAATCACAGAGGAATGTACTGCTAGTAGGAGTACTAGTACTAGTAGTATGAGTAGTAAGGTATGCTGGAATTTTTTGAAGCATCCTTATCTCTTCTTTTGCTGGAGTAGTACATCACAGACCAGCATATCTTGAATGATGCTGTCCAAGGGCTGTTTACAATTAGTACTACTCAATGGTGGAGGGAAATACTGATTGATGTCCACTTAAATGACACTAACATCATTGCTGCCACTGATGTTACTACTAGTAGTAGTCCAAACATCACAGCATTCAGGACAAGCATGGTTAGTAGTGATGTTACTACTTGCATGTTTCTCAGCATCATGCTTTCCTCAGCGCTGTTACTTATGCTACTAAGCCAAAAATATGGCAACATGCCAAAGTGGAAAATTGAAGAACTGTGAATTGTTGTAGCACTTTCGATTCCAGGAGAAAGCCAAAAGATGAAGAAAGTGATACTGCTATTTAGTTAAAAGAACTCCAGGAAGAATTTATTGACAACATGGATGTGATCTATGATTCAGGCGGTTAGATTCAKTTTACAGACAGCAGATACAAGAATGAGCTGCTGCAAAATGACACTGCTGCAGTTATCATATATTGCAGTTCCCATAAGTGTTGGTGGAGAGCTGAAACCACCTAAAGTGCCAATTGCTTCAAGTGCAATTGCACTTCTTRCCTCAGGTTCAGAAGACCCTGTTTCATCTGGAGATCATGAGAGACAGAATTATACACAAAATGTATAACCACATGAGCTTTCAAGAAGTGTTCTGTTTCTTCAAATTCTGCATAAAAGGTTTGATGTTGTCATCTAAGAGACCAATGATGCAGAAACTGCCTATGACAAAAAAATACGTTTACTGGAAGCTTGGACAATATCAGACTCTATGCAAAGCTGTATTCTCAAAATGACAATGACCAAGAAAATACATTAAGCTAGATCGTTGCTGCTTTTGTTTTAAGACTTCATGAAAAATGTGTACATTCACCTCATCACAAATAAAGATAAAAAGACTCCAGAGGAAGATTGATTTATTATTGCTGCCACAAATGGAAGACCTGTCGTGATTAATGACAACATAGATGTTGAAAGATCTAATGCACAAGAAGAAGCAATGATTGGATTTGTGTTGTGCTTTGCAGAATTAGGACTTCCAGTGCTCTCTTCACAAAAAACATCACTGYCAACAACATTTAACAGACAACAGATCAATTAATTCCATTCCTATTTWAAAAACAACAARCAACCACAGTCATTTTGCTAACTCACTTCTCACTCAGTTTTTGCACCGTAGTAAGTGCCTGCGGTAGTCAACCAATCTATTCATGAAAAACAAAAGGGGATCATCAACAACAATCAGACCATTTTGCTGCTGAGATGTGCAAATTCGTCATCGATGGTATCATCTCTTTCTTTTATCAAAATTTGTGTCAGCTTCGTTATAATATTTAGTTGTGACTAGCTAATTATTGTGGTCCATGTGAACCAACTATATCATTCCATTCATGGAAAACTTTTGATTCTCGCGGTYCTCGCTCTCTTTCTTGCGTTGCTCCAGTAGCAATCTCTTGTCGCGGAGTTCCACCGCATTTTTAGCGTTTTCCTTTTCTGCCTCTTGTTGCGTATARACMGTTCTSGCAATCGGTAAGAGTACCTTGAGCAATCGATCGACAGCCTGTTTCCCAGTTCCAAAGTCCCTGATAACAAATCGAGGATGCTGCTTGATGTCGATTTCGTCCATACGCTTAATCGTATATGCTGAAGCAATCTCTTTCATTGCCTCAACTTCCTCTTCGTCTAGAGCATCCCATTTGTCGGTGTCTTCGTCCAGACTAGAATCTTCCAAYAGTTGCTTCAGATCAACTCTTTTACCACCAATAAGTTCTTCCTCCTCTCCCGAMAGCGTGAAGCGCGCTGGGAAGATCACATCTAGTCCCTTGGGAGATCGGCCTTTTGGAAGCAAYGACAAAACCTTGCCCCAATGCCTAGGTCTCAACCCAGTAGAACGCATGACACAGTCTATTCCTCCATCTTCATTTTCTACTAGACCAATCACATCGATTCCGAGACGACGTGTGGATGCATGGAGATGCATCGTTTTGAGTTTTCTTTGGAGAACAGCCGGGAGAGCACCATATTCATCTTTCCACTTATTGGTGAGTTCCACTAAGGTAGTGGAACTATCGGCCAATCGAACTGCTGATACGGCGATCTGTCTTTCATTTTCATCAGGAATATAATCCTCGGGTATTTGGAATGCGTGAACCGAAACAATCTTGCCAGATTTGTTCTTCTTTCTCACTTCCATGCTTCCTTGACCCTTTGGAAGAAGAATATTTGTGCGAGGTACATGAGGAATGTCAAGTCCTCTCAATTGGCGAATCGATTTTTTCAACATTCGCATGTATAAGTCGAAACCAACCCTGGCTGCTGCTCCACTTTGTTCYGTACCAAGTAGGGATCCTGCTCCACGAATTTCTAAATCGCGATTGGCGACGTCAAATCCGCTTCCCAACTCGTTCAGCTCCCCAATAGCTTGAAGCCTCATCACAGATTGTTCAGTGATCGCATCTTCGTTATGGAGAAAATATGCGAAACCTTGTTTGTCAGAACGTCCAACACGACCGCGGAGCTGGTAAAGAGTTGACATACCGAAGTTTTGACTRTCCTGGATGATRATCGTRTTCACAGAAGGTATATCAACTCCATTCTCAATAACGGTAGTGGCAAGTAAGATGTCAATACCTCCTTCGGCGAAKTTACTGACATTCTCTTCGGCTGTATTTCGACCCATTCTACCGTGAGCTTGAATTACTTTGATATCTGGGAAGCACTCCCTAATAGTTTCCTCAGCTTCGTCCAGCAGCGCAATGCGTGGTACTACGTAAAAGATCTGACCATTGCGTTCGAGTTCTTGCGCAATCGCATGTTTTACAATATCCTTATTAAAACTTTGAACGAAAGTTTTGGTTGACTTCCTCATTGGTGGTGGCGATCGAATAGTTGAAGTATCTCGAATACCGCTAAGAGACATTTGAAGCGTCCTGGGGATCGGAGTTGCGCTCAGGGTAAGGACGTCAATACCGTCGCAAATTAGTTTCAAKCGCTCCTTTTGTTTCACACCAAATCTCTGTTCTTCGTCGACTACGAGAAGTCCCAAATCTTTGAACTTCATTGAGTTAGAGAGAAGAGCATGGGTTCCTACAATAATGTCATACTCGCCATTTTGAATTTTCTCTCTCATTTCTTTCCCTGCTTTAGATTTCGGGGCCATTCCACCTCGCACCAGTGCGATGTTGAGATTAAACTCGGAATCTTCTCCACAACGMTTCAATATGTTCTTGTAATGCTGCGAAGCCAAAACGCCTGTAGGGGCAAGCATGGCGGCTTGGCGGCCATTGGCGACAGCACGAAATAGAGCACGTAGTGCGACCTCTGTCTTTCCAAATCTTGTTACGTACAGTGAAACAATCAAACAAAATTAGTTGCGTTCAATGCACGGTAGATTGTATACATGGTTAATTTTAGAATGCCAAAGACAAACTTTCTTCAACTTACCCCACATCTCCACAAATAAGACGATCCATGGGTCGAGATCTCCACACCATATCATTTTCTACTTCTTCGAAACATTTCGCTTGATCCTTGGTAGGTTCAAATTTGAATGTCTTTTCAAAGTCTTTCACCCTAGTCTCTTTATCAGGATCGAAAGGTTGACGTTGCAGCGTCTCGCGGGTAGCGTATAACGCCAAAACATCTTGGGCCAACTCCATAGTTGATGCTTCCACCTTTCTCCTRGCATTTCTCCATTGATCACCTCTGACTTTGGAAAGCCTAGGTTTCACTGCTGCATCACCCGCTCGATAACGACTCAATCTATATGCCCTGTCCACAGGAACATGAACAATGCCATCCGCGTAGGTGATTTCGAGGACCGTGACTTGTGGATTGGAAATTGGGTCTTTGTCCTCCTCAGTTCCAAATGTGGCTTGTATTTCTTGAATCATCTCCTGAGGAACTCCACCTTTCGTCGATCTCAATTTCTCCGTTATTATTTCCTTTCTTCTAGCATCTCGTGCTTTCACTTCATCCCGTGTCAACTTCAAGCGTGGAGTTGTTGTAGTTTTTTCGAATCTTCCGATACCATATTTTCGATGAACGACAAAGTCACCGGGAAAGACTTCGAGTGACCATCCTCCAGCACTTCCAACTCGGACCCCCTTCAGGCGATCACGCGACACGATTTTTCCATCGATTGCAACAGTGTCGTCAATTGCAGAGGATGCTTYGTCTTGCTCTTCGRCATCATCATCATCATCCTTGCTGTTGCCATMATCATTACCACCCATGGCTGCCCATTCTTGTTTCAAGTCCTCGTCAAGATTGTCGTACCAATTTTTACCTCCCCCAAAACCTGCAATACTWATGTCGCTGCTTGAMGCATCGAAAAAGCCCTCGTCCCCTTGGGTTGCCTCCAAAACCTCCATGTCGACACCTTGCTCTTTGGCTAGAGTCGCTTTGTATATATTTTCCTTTTCGATTTTCTCCTTCAAATCTTGCTTGACCCTTTCAATATCTTCAGCCGTTTTCGCATCAGCAAATTCTCCCCAGACCTTTCTTCTTCGTTCCTCCTTGAATTCTTTGTCCTGTTCCTCTAACGCTTTCTTCACGATCTCATCGCGTTTTTTCTGATAGTTGCTTTCTTCATCGTCAATATCGTCGTCGTCATCCTCTTCGGTTCCAAATGCAATTTGGGTGTCGGGTCTCATACCTGCCGGCATTGTCTTTCCTTCTCCTTGTTCGGCATGAAGCGGCTGACCTCTCGTCGTCGGAACCGCRTGCGGGAACAATGGCGCCGCTGAAAATGTATTACGTGTATGGGATCCAACATTCAGATCTTTCTTTGCAGGAACAAATGCTGTCACGGGGGCGGAAAGTATCATCAAATAACCAAGAAAAGTAAAAAGCGATAGCATCATGATAGCGTTGTCGCTACCTCCTYGTCCTCCTCGAAAGCTAAAGCACGCCATTATGATTCTAATGTGGAAAATTTTCAACAATAGTAGGAAATGCTTTGGTGGCTTTCTTCGCCTCGTGAAAGTGTCTGGTGGGTASGAGTACTGTAGTTGAGCACCAGAAAGAATGAAATCACGCAATTTATGTCGTATTRCTGTATTGGATTTTCCGGCTGAGTAATAGCAAGTGATGTTTCCGTATACGTCAACCCATCCCAAGCAAGAAAGAATTCTTCTTCCGATGATCTGATTGATCGTTGGATTTTGAGTGTTCAAAGTATGATGTTTGGAAAAACGTGTGATTTTTGGAGATGAATGGATGATGTGAATTTTGAAGCCCTCGCTGCGATGATGTGTTCTGCGAAGAATCTTACCTTCGCTAGGGATCGGGTTATATTATATTTTTGACGCTGTTCATAATTGGTTGAAGAATCGACACGCATGACTGAAAAAGAACTWAATTTTTAAATACTATTTGCGATTGACAGATAAAAAACCCTGCTGCCTCGAAGAATAATCTTTCTCCTACGGTATCTTTCTCCTACGGTAAAATCACTTCCTTTCGCACGGGGGATACTAATACTAAACATCGCAAAAGCTTTCAAACACTACTAGTAAAAGCAGTCTGGCATTTGCCATCAGCTCAAAAGGAGCATTTTCAATTTCTTGACATTAAAGAGGAGATCAGCATTCGAAYAGAGACACAAATCTATCACGCTGGCTCCTACTTGTGCGAGAGTAATTGGTGTTTGAGAATAGACGATGAGGTTGTTGTTTCCCCCTGGAGCGATTTTGGCCTTAATTCTTCGGAGCTTCCTAGTGATATGGGGATCTTCGTCGCTGGCGGTACTCGAAGGGTTCACCAGCGAATCGATATCTAGTGGTAACAATAAACCAGCAACATTATATTTTCWCAATGATCGAATAATATCAGTCTTAGAACCCAAAGGTATGAAAATTCCCGAACTCGATCAGTCCAGGACAAAGCGAAGGACAACATCCCGTTTGAATATGGTCGAAAGTTCAAATGATCCCGCTTTTTTGTTGACAATGGTGGAAGAATTAGAAATGGAAGAAATTACACCTGAAATCGTGGCCAGAATGGAAAATGTAGAAATTGCCTTGGTCAAATTCTTGGAAGCAAAGGGTGCTGCCCTCCTGGAAGAAGGAAAAGAGGAGGAGTCAATTTTCAAACCTTTTCCACCATCGATCGCTCCACCGGATGAACTTCTTGGTRACGAGGGTAATGTTGAATTTCAATCTTGGGGGGAGCACGGATATAATTCGGCACAGGGTGCAAATACATCGGAAAGGCTACAGCGACGATTGCTTGAAGAAGCTCTGGAACGAATACGAGCACGTTTGAATGAAGAATATTTCATCGTAGAACACCAACAGGCATTCCAACAGTATTCAGAGGAAGAAGAAATTCTGCGTCAAGCCCAAGAGGCTTTGCAGAAATCACGAGAAGCGGCCATGCTGCGAAAGGCTCAAGCGGAAAGACGTTCTGTTTCGGCGGCAAAGGTTTCGGCCGTGTATCGTCAACAAGAGCAGCAGAGAAAGAAAGAGCAATATATGGAGCAGGAACAACAAAATCGATATGAAGACCTATCCTTTGAAAGCAAAGAAAGCAATGAACCTGAAAACCCAAATAAAAACAGCCTAGGGTTTGATGTTCCTAGAAAGAGACCAACTATTCAGGTTGGGAGTCTCTCCGGGAAAGGGTCGGAAGGACGTGATGATAAAGCAATGGATGGCAGTGACGACAAATCCGACGAGGATTTTTGGGAAGAGCGACGAAGTAGAGCTCCCGATGGAATACCAATATTGTACAATTGGATACAAGACGAGGTTGGTTGCATCACAGGTAACGTGAAAAAATCAATTTATTTTAGTGACGGAGCAACCATATCAACTTCGTCGGTCACCAATCGAGCTCGTGAGGGGACATTAGTCACAACAGAATCAGGTTCCCAGTAAGTCAGAATTCGATTCTATTTGTGTTGCTGYTCATAAATCAAAGAAATTTCCGTATGTTGAATTTTTTGGCTGACTAAAATTGATTCTCTTCCTGTCAACTCTCTCTTTCATTTCGTGCAATGTTTTTTGTGTACTGTGCCAAAGATATTTCTTGGAAGAGCAGGCGGTACGAGAATCAGTCGGAGATTACCAATATAATAGAGATGATGCATCGAGATTGAAACCTGCAACATCACAGAATGACAACACAATGACGGCCCCTAAAGGCATACCGACAGTGAAATGCTGGCAATTTGACAATGGGGGTGGAATTGTAGGATTGATCTATGGCTCACCAGATGCCGAAGATGGTGATTACATCGAAACTTCTCCCATAGTAAACGGAGAGATCGACAATAACTCGGTGGTATATACCCAGTCTGGGAGCCGCTATTTCTTGAGTGGTGACCCTCCCGAGAATGCCTTCGATACGCTTCTTACCTTCCGGGACGAAGTTGAAACCGAGCGTTCTAAGCAAGGTGGTACCTTCACTCTCACGAAATTAGGCGGAGTAGAAGACGGGGAGGGACGCGGTCCGCGACGATCAAGATCTACATTTTCCCTCTTTGATTTGTTTGGTGGTAAACGGAATTCTGAATCACCAAATAGTCTCGATTCTGTGCCTCTGCCATTGCCCCCGCCATCCCCTGACAAGATGCCACCGATTGGAACTCCCACACTGACAGGTTGTGTTTTCAATGACAACGGAACGATCACTGGATACATATTTGGAAGCCCAAAAATCGACGATGGGTACTTGATCACCACTAGTGTGGTTGTGGAAGGTGAACGAAGGCAATTCGAAACGGTGACCACAGAAACGGGATCGCTATACTTTCTTGGATGACAGAAGGGAGGCCAGTCTACGAGGWCGATTATAATCGTTTCRAATTTCAAATTATTTTTGAAGACCATTCATGGTTTCGATGATCCTTTGTTGGCGGCGAGAAAAAGAACTCATGCATTCTTTTGTAGATACGTGGTATGTTCCTGTGCAAAATATTTCAGATGTAAAGCATTAGTGTAAAATCAACTCGTTATGCTTAATACTATTGAACATCAGAAAACTTGCAAGCAACTGTACGGCCAGCTCGGTTCAAGATATTATATTCGATACAAACCCTTAAGAACAGTGGCAGAGGGAGCGAAACAGCGAAGGTATAACATCACTCTACTGCAACTGCAGGCCGCACRCCATGAAATAGATTGTGCTATGCAAGCATTTGTGTTGAAAGTCACCAGTAGAATCCTTCCTAATTTGYTATAGAAGCCCGTAATTCGTGCACTAGTGGGATTGTCTAATCCGGTCCACTTGCTCTTTCGTCCCAAATTGGCAAGAACCCATAAAATATRTTGACACCATTCGATTGGTAACCGATTGAATACTTTACATACCTAGATGAAACCCATAGCAACACCCCAGCGACTAGCTGTACCGAGCCCGCTGTCKGGAAGACCTTCTGTCAGGGAATATACCACGAGGCACGAAGGGCAAATCGTGTAGGCCGCATCGGCAATGCACATGTGCTTCGTGGTACAAGCAACGCAGGTACAGGAMACCGCAAAACTTCGATCTACGRCCAACGTGATCCCCTTGCYAATCCGGAGGACATGAAAGACGCCGGGATAGATTTCCACCTTGACAGATTTCGAGAACGATGAGGTCGGTGGTGGCCTCCGCAAGATAGCTTCAGTTCTCGTAGCAGCATCGACGTTTGTGAGCTGGTTCGGSGCGTGACTAACACTGGGAATATTGCTGGGATTCGAGGACGATAAAGGTATTGGCAGCGATGGATCCTGCGAGAGATACTGCGAAAACACCTCTTTCTCTTCAGTGTTCTTGGCGATAGCAATGTTGGCTGGTGGATTCGGGAAAGGATTAGCTTTTGGAACGTTGCTGAACCGGTAATTCCCTGCGGTGTCCGCTTGCTGTGAAGGTCCGTTTCCGTTGCCCTKCTTATGATGCTGTTTTTGGATCGTTGGTAGCAGCGCTTCTAGATTGTACTCCCGCTGCGTACYAATCAGGATCTTTCTCTCGCGAGAATTTGTCTTGGAGTGGATGCTTGTGGCGGTGCCGTTTGTAATACCATTCCCAAGTGGCATTGGACAGGGGAACACCTGCTGCTGTATATGTTGTTGTACCTGCTGTTGAGGAATTGTGCGGAGATTACGTGGCTGCTGGAGTGGGCTTCTTGGTCTGGCTTGCTGCTTCTGTTGCGATACAGAAGGGTAGAAAGAATCAAAGCGAAGGGGCTTTTGGGGGCGGGTCTCGAGCCGAGACCGCRGGTCGACTTGTGTCGAATAATGAGAGGTAGTAGCAGCAGCCATTGCATCTTGGTTTTCGCTTGGGTTGCCCGGTATATCGCCGCCTGTCTGTGTGGTCGAGGGGAGAATGACGCTCCTGGGAAGAAACTCTTGGGCTGTTCTAGAGAGTTGCTCTTGGATGGCGTCCCCCGAGGGGTAAAGAGGACCGGCCGCAGTCCTCTTTCGAAAGATGGAAGGGGAGAACGATATAGGCGAAATCGCCGGCACAGCTGGTAGCGAACTGGTTGGATCGTTTGGTCTTTCGAAAGAAAGATTGATCGCTCGAGGAATCGAGGAATCCTTTCGATGCATTTGAGAAGACAATGGCTCTGCTGGTCGGGGAACCTGGTCGTGTGCAAGGCAGTCGTGGTTGTTCCTATTCTTGTTTTTGTCCCGATTGCTATGACTCRGTAGTAGACAATCCGAACTATCTTTTTTGTAGATGGATGGTAGAGCAGGGCCAGGCTTCGGAGGGTCCTTCGTTTTGGGGTAACTTTTGTTCGAGTCGTTTCCTTGGATTACAACAGCATTGGGAGWGATCGAGTATGCTGGAGGCTCCTTCAATTGGGTTTCGTGTTGATGATAGTGATGGTGAKGTTGATGGTAATAGTAATGGTGATGCTCTGGTCTTGATCGCCGTCGATTGTTGTGGTCATGGGTGCTCCTGGATGGACTCTGGCGATGAGATGGGGGGGTTGGGACGTTTCTCCTGCTGTGCTCGTGGTAGTTGTTGCCACTACTRTTGGTGGTAGTGATGTGATCTCTGTTACCGTTCAAATGGGTGGCCGGTGGGATCGATCGCTGTCGCTCTTGCGRTTTCTGTGGTTGGATGAGCGAGGGAAGGAAAGTTCGATCGACGCCATAGTCGCTGTCAGTGGTAGGAGCAGCAGAGGCAGCGGCAGTGGTGGGCCCAACCCGCAGATTCTCAAACATCATCAAAGGTACGCCATCCTTGTTCGATGACAGCTCAGTGCTCGCGTTTTTAGAACTGGAGTTTCTTTTTCTATTGGAAAACATTGTGTGACATTCTTGGTTTCCGTTTTCATTTCCATTGTCAGTGCTATAATTCCAATTCATGGTTGCGCGAGAGATTGAGGYATCGAGTCTGCTGCAGCTTTTGAGATTGAAGTAGAGGTAAATTGAGAACTAGCCTCGGTAGCCATGCGGCGAATGGATAACATTTCTCTTTTGACGATACCAAGAAATTACGGTTCAAACAGATTGTATCAAATAAAGCTTTCGTCAAGGTTGGAAGAGAGGCCTTCATTATTATCCCATTATGTTCTGCACGCTTTTGGAGTCGGAGCCCTGTCTTATTTATATTTAATGTATATTTTGCGAATGATTCAAAAATCAATTAAGGATCCGGATTACGTAATTTACTACTTCGGTGAGTTACTTGGTAATACTAAAATTCTTTAAGGGATCAGCTAAAAATTATCGCCCTATATAAAAACTGAAGACGGTCTTTTTGCAAAACACACTTCCTTAAAACCTTGTCACTGCACTACCGGTACTACACCAGAAGATGGTGGAAAATTCCGGCTGTCGCGATTTAGGCGTACTCGTACCGSGTCCATCTACAATTTTGGTTTTTCTTACTTTCCTTCTTCTGCCGTACCGTGCGGTTCGCTGCCTTACCGTGGGTTCTATCTTTCATTCTATCTACGGTGCGAGTACTGCTCTCCGGAGATAGCAATGTACACCGAGTCTTGTGTCATACAGAATTAGTRAAGTCCATGTTGTGACTGTCATTAGTCACGTAGTACGGTGCACTAAAAATGCATACGAAGGTACAAAACAAAATGACTGCAACTTKAATAGAACTTGATTAATGTAATCTAAGAATCTCATTTCTGTTACATTTACAACATCTCACAGAGACAATGACCCGTTGTAGGATGGTATTCTTTATTCGACATAACCCGCACTTAGACTAYTTTCATAGAATACCATCGAACGTAAAAGAGTTTGCGAACGAAAGATGTCAAGAAATAATTTATTTATCGCACTTCCAGGTAATAGGGGATGGAGATAAGAAGCTCACCACGTACTACTCCTAGGTGTACCGGTACATATTGTGAATATCCAATCAACACATTMAAATGTCGACGTCTGGGTCCTCATTAAGTAAAAATAAGAAAGTTGCATAACAAAATTCAATSCAAACACTTAAGGATAGAAACCCAATGGGTGATTCCGGTTATTCTAAAATCTCTAGATTTGATAGACTGACAGACCGAAAATTTAGAGAATGTGACTCTAGATTTAGCATATTTAGAACTGGTCAAATCACCCCGTCCTAAATACTCTACCGTACATTTAGAGTGGAACCCACAAATAAAATTTTCCAGTTGTCCTTTCTTTGTACCAAGTGTTGTGCRGGCCTCTTTTTAGTCATTATATTGGAGTAGTATAGTTAAGATTCCAAATTCCCAGCAAAAAACAAGACTGCTGCAATGAAGGAGGTGGGTTTCCTCTCAGTCTGTCTGTTGAAATTTTGATTCATCCCATTATTCTAAATACCCTAGATGATCCCTACATTTACTAGTGTTTTAGAGTGTTTAGAATAATGTGAACCACCGAATGTGATCGACATCCCGAGCGTTCTATTTGTCCACCCAGACATCTTGCTCAGTAAAAGGTTCAAATGTTGTCTGTAAAAACTAAAAACTGCCATGGTGCGACCTTCCTCCTCTAAATTTGGTCTTGCTGCAAGATAACGAATTTATTATTAGAAGTTAGCTACTACTAAGCACCAAACTCTATACCTCTATTAGTACTATTAGTGCTACTAGCTAGTACTAGTAGGGCTGGAAGAACAAGCTTGTCAAGAATATCATTGAAATACTTGGTTTCTTGCAATTATGGGTAATACTAGTACTAGTAGTAGACCACCAGAGAAATAGAAAATTTAGATTATACTACTAGTACTACCAGTACCAGCACCAGTCTGGTGGGGATAACACTTGCTGCTGTTCCCCCTGGTGGTGGATTTCCCCCCCTCCTGCCTCTGGAGAATTTCTTCTTTGTAAACTTCTTTAGATGGTAATTGAACAAGAGGAACTCATCAATGAAAATTTTTGGTCATGATTCCTTTTCATTACTAGTACTACTACTAGTACTACTGGTAGTAGTAGTGCTACTACTACTACGAGTACCCACATCATTAAGTACTACTAGATATTATGCAATTTGACTGGTGGTAGTACTAGCACTTGCAGTACAGCCAAGAAATGTAGTACTTTTAATAAGTAGTACAAATACTACTAGTGTGAACTAGTGATGAAGAACCATGATAGATAAACCAACAACTGTCAAAATTATGTTGAAAATGACTATTCTTCTTCTTGTTGTTGCTAAGATCATCACTTGGTTAGAGAGAAAGAGGAGGTATTTTGTTGCTTCTTGTTTCACTTCTTCTTCTTCTTTCTCTTCATTCAATGGTTCAGAATATGTTGATTRCAAAATCAGAATAATTAGCTATGACCAATAGTGCAACAATCATCAGTGTCAACCATGGATACAATAGTACTAGTAACATTATTAGTCGCATCAAATGATAGAAGATGAAGATTTGTTGCATACCACCAAAAGTGTTTTTCATGTATCAAATACTACTTTAATTAAGARTTTGCACGTACTGATCGTGATGGGCACCACCACTCTATACTGCTACTACCTAGAGCTAAAAMGAAATGTGAGATGAAATAATAGAGATAGTAAATGTTTGCAAAAAAGTCATCATATACTAATAGAGAAGAGCAAATGCACATAGAGATTGATGAAAGCTGCATTAGATAATCGTGCTCTTTCATCATGGACAATTATTGTTGAGAAATTTATTTCACTTATCGTGTTGGCAGCATATGCAATGTTATGTTATCATCTCTTGCTCGGGCCTTGTTGGCACTGCCTTGCATATTCGAACAAGATCACACTCCCACAAACGGCAGCATTCAGGCTTTCGATTCCGGCCTCCATCGGTATGTGTGTGGCACGGACATTTTTCGAGTCGTTGTCGATCTCACCACCGTCACCTGGTTCTTGTACCACTAGGTCTTCACGAAGAGTAGGACTCAGGCCGTTGCCCTCTGATCCAATGACGAGAGCAGAAGGCCCCTCGGTCCAATCCACTTCAAAGTATGGGATGCTGGCCTTGTGATTGTCTTTGTTTTCGTCTCCGTTACTTTCCTCGACCATAGTGGCCGCGTAGACCTTCTGGACACCTTTCGATTCCCGCAATCTCGATTTTGCATCCCTCCAGCTGGGATATTCTATAATTGGGATCTGAAAAGAAGCCCCCATGGCGCTTCGGACCGCTTTCGGATTCCAGACGTCACAGCAATCCGGCAATAATATTATTCCTGCGACTCCCACTGCCAGCGATGTTCTCAGCAGGGTCCCGAGATTCCCTGGATCCGAAACCCCGTCCAACACCAAGTACATTGGAGCGTTGGACGTTGTTGCATCGGCATTGCTCGYTGCTGCTGAAGAAACCTCGTCCGGGATGTCCACGATTGCAACGATGCCCTGCGGTGAAATTGTGTCCGAACAATCAGGAAAGATATCGGGATGAACCAACTGTACCAAGAGATCGTTGCTCTTGCTGTCTTCATCACCACTGAACAATCGACTTCGGTAATCGTCTCGGAGTTCGTAGTCGCGAACAGATACCAAAACCTGCTTCACCAAATGCGTTGTTCTTKGATTATCAATCAAATCAAAGACCATTCGCGGCCCTTCCACCACGGTCTGGCCGAATTTGATCCGCTGTTTTCGTTTTGACAGCAATGCCTGTATCTTTTTGACCGTCTGAGATTTGGGCGACGTGATAACATTTAGATTGTTGTTTGTTTGTGACGACAAAAAAGACCGGGAACGTACATGGTGACGGAGGTCATCGAGGCAGCGACGTTGGCGATTGGTGCTCCCATCGAATAGTTTACCTCGTCCGGTGACCAAAGACGACACCGCTCTTGACCGACAAGACGACAATGAGGATGAACGAAATCCTTGACATGATTGAATTGAAATGCAAAGAAGCGCCATGATTAAATATTTTGTTTTGCTTCCCATTATGTATGATTGGGTTTGTCCGTTGCCTGTGTCAACGTCTACCTGCGCATTCTTGTTTGGGTTCCGAAAACTTCTTGCTGTGTTCCCGATCAATCCGTTCGTCCAGCCAATCAAATAAGGAAGAGCCAACGATGGTAGTAATTTCCGTCGGAAGRTATTTTGACAATCATAGACGGTGTCATAGATTCTCTCTCCTATCCAAGCGTGTGCTTGTGGTATGTGGGCAGAGCCGTTCGCAACCTCTTGTTTCGAAAGAGATTGGTTACTGCTTGTGTACTATGATTACGAGTACGTACGTACATTTCATGTAAAAGCATGAAGTTCAAAATTTCCAATTCCTGATGTTTTTGATGCGACCAAAATATGAAGTTTCGGGGTAGTACCGTACGGTACGGTACGGTAGGGTGATCCGGTGATGTTTGCCCACACAGTACGAGTACGAGTACGTACGTACGAACGTGAAGTAAGTTTATCGTCTGGCCCGGTCGGGGAATGTAGAGTAAGTGTGAGGCTAAATCCCGAGTAGCTAGTGAATAACCTCACTCCTCTATTGTAAACCACGTATTAACACGCAGTAAGGAGCCTATTAACATTTGCAAGTAAGTGTGTGCCGGTACGTACCCCGTGATCTACTTTGTACACAGCAGGGGTCAGTACGTACGTACTTCGTCCGATATCGATGTAGCGAGTCCCGGAGAAACGGGTCCCAGGAACACGCACGCCGCGCGCGTCTGTCCGTCGGGAAGAAAACGAGTGGCTGGAAACAGCTGAAGCAAGGGAGCAAACAGCAGCAACAAGAGGTGCGCCTAATATCCCAGCAGCTGGCAACTCCTCACTGGGATCATTAGTGCTGCAGACTGAATGAAACAGTAGTATAGTAATAAGAGCTGAAGCTTTCGGGGGACAGGGGCCTAAACCTATCGGCCTGCCCCAGTCCTGCTTGAAGGATCCCTGGCCATGGGAAGCACCGCTGACCCACGCCCGTTGAGGTACACCGACCTCTTCATCGATCCCCAAGCTAATCCATTCGGAAACGATCCCCAAATCCGCAAGAACGCTTATCGGGGGATCTACCAGCGCTTTAGTGCAGGCCCAGCACCCCTCACCGCCGCAGGGTTATTGGACCACGTGCTGAACCTATTCGAAGCAAAGGCTGTGGGGGGAATTGGCATCTTTGTCAATGATACCACGCTCCTGCCGCAACTCCGAGTGATTCACGGGATTCGCAAGTATCCGGGGAGCTTGATGGAACACTCCAGTAACGCCAATAAAGCGTTTGGATACCTTGATGACGTGGTATCCGGGAGAGGGGAGCTAGTCCAGGTGACAGCGAACATGTTTGCCCTTACAAATGAAGTTAGAGTGCATCCGGAGGCTCAACACCAGCTGGAGTTAGAAAGTAACCCGGACCTACAGTTCACGGGGCCTCTGACGAATGAAGCCAACCCACAGGCTGAAAAGCTGCGGTGCCGACACACGTTCTTCATCCCCTTCAAGCTAATGCCACATGTCCTTGGGAAGAAACTCACTCCTCGGGCTGCCTACTTCATCATCCAACCGTGGCTCGCAGCCGCTGACCTCAGGGATGTTGCGGAACCCCTCTTAACTGCACTCCGTATTGGGAGTACCCAAGTACTAAGCTCCACCCCTGGAGGGGGAGCGATATGTGAGATTGCTGCCACTGAACCAGGCCCCTTGTTCCGTGCCGAAGCCAACCTCACGTTATACATGGAAGAAAAAGTATTACACAGGGACCTACCCGGGCTTGTGTCTGTGCCGTCATTAGTGGGACCAGAAACAGCGGCCTTAACGGCTGCAGTGTCCACGCTAACTGATACACACTTACGGGCAACCCAAGCAAGTGAACACCGCCGAGCGGAGGATGCTAAACCAGCCACTCTAGAGGAGGTCTTTGGATCCCTCAACGCTCAGCGGTTAAGGACACTCTGCTCCGCGAAACAAGCTGAAGACCTCCCCCCAGTATATACTGCCTGGACAAGCAAGAAGAAGGGAGAGAAGCTGCATGCACTGTTTCAAAGCCATGTGGACCAAAGTGCACGGGAGCTGGGACTACAGCCCCCCTTTGTCCCCTTGGCAGCACTTAAGAGCTTCCAAGCCTTCCGGTTCTACGGCATAGATGACTGTGAACTGGGGGACGGAATACTCCCTATGGCCTTTGCTCCCCCGGGGGGGTCCCCCACAGCTAGGAAACAGCAGCTGGAAGACGCCACAGCTGCCGCCGCTTATGATACGATGGTCTCAACGGAAGGCAACTCTATATCCTTCAGCGACGCTACCACACTGGGCAAAGCAAAAGGATATATCCCAGTAGACTGGACAGAAGCCCTGTTGCAACTCGAGGGTTATCTTCCAGTCCTGGCAACACTAATAGGCACTGATCATCCCTTGGTTCGAAACTACCTCAGCGGACTCGATCGACTAAAACGTATACAACTCACTCTACGACATGCACTTAAAGATGAGTGTGGGGGCAAGTTAGCCCCTGCGATACTCGTATACTACTTCCAGATTCGAGTACGGTGCTGGTTAGAAGACCAATGGGACAGTGATACCCCAGTTGAAGCACCCAGCTTCACTCAGGAGTTCCGCACCTTCAAGCTCTCCCGGAACCTCAACTGGTTGCCAGGAATATCAGATGTTCCGGCTCTGCAGGGACTAAGGAAGCCCACAACACCGGCGCCGAGTGCTAGGACCCCCGCCCGAGGGGGAACAGGCGCCACCACTAGAGGAAGGAGTGGGCAGAGCGGCCCCTCCTCTAACAACAACAACAATAACACTCCGCAAACACGTGTCGAAAATCATAACCAAGACCCCAGGATCTTGGCCACCGAAGGGGAGCTCAAAACTCGGCTTAAGAACTGGAAGATTGCCAAGGCTATGAGCAGTATGAAGGCAAAAGGAAAGGGGCCCTGTCTCCGGAATGATGGCAAGGAGATGTGCCACTCCTGGCGCGCCAAAGGCTTCTGTTATGATGGCTGCAGACTGGGGTATGACCACAATGAGTCGACAGCCGAGGAAGATGACCGCTTCTGGTCTTGGTGCCGAGAGCCTTATACCAACACGGAGCAATGAAGAGGGGGCAGGCAGCCTGCTCTTTGTCACACAGCTGCTGTGCCATTGCCCCCTCGTAAACGACAGAAGAGGCGGGTGCAGAACACAGCAGCGGATTGGGAAATGTCTCACTCCCCTGTAGAACTAGGTAAGCAGTGTACGCAAGAGCATATCCCACACAATTGTAAGAGGAGACAGGAGCCCGTTCCTGAGTCCTCCCCCAACGCTAATAGCCAGACACCAGAGGAGAGCCGAGACTACACTGGTCCTGGTACAACACATCGTAGGGACGCCGGCGGCCAACGAGAGCCTGCGGACGGACCCTGGGAGCCCGTAGACAAGAGGGTCGAGTCCCCCAGGGCCCCACACACAACAACCGAGGCCCGAGAACGGCCACTTACTACCACCTATCCATACGACCGGCTCGATGCTCATGTCACCAAAGCGGTTACAGCCTTTCACCAAGCAAACTGTTGGGGGGACTTCGTTCGATCTGTTAGGGGGAGGGGGGACCTCCATCCTGAAGTTGGGGAACTCCCACACCCGGCAGCACAACTCCTGCACAGTTTCCAGCAGGAGGGCACACCGGCGGTAATGATGTCACCACCCTGGGGAGCTGCCCGTATAGCAGGAGCCTTAGCCCGGGGACCACACAAGTCCTCCCACAATGGAATAGAATTCCTGCGAGAGGAGTATGCGGACATGATGGATAAGCAACAATGGACTGTCCTGCCGGCTAGTCTGGTCACCGGAATCCCAGGGCTCTGCTTAAGCCCGTTGGGACTCGTGCCACAGCGAGGGCGGAGGGACCGAATGATCTCTGATTACAGTTACTTTGGGGTTAATGCCGAAACAGCCCCCTTGGCACCCGCTGAGGCCATGCAATTTGGTCGAGCACTGAAACGCCTCCTGCAGCGGATCCACAGTGCCAACAGCCGGTTTGGGCCCGTGTATCTTTCCAAAATAGACCTATCTGATGGCTTCTACAGACTATGGGTGAAGCCGGAGGACACTCTGAGTCTAGCAGTTCTGTTTCCGAAACGGGAAGGGGAACAGCCGCTGGTAGGAATCCCTCTTACGAATCCCATGGGCTGGTGCTCATCGCCACCAAACTTCAGTGCCTGCACTGAAACGGTGGCAGACCTAGCCAATGGCATCCTCCTAAAGGTGGGGCTTGGAAAGATGAGAAGGTTCCCACATCGCCTCGATGAGATCTCAGAGACCCCACCAGAGGAGGCCGAGACAATCCTACAGCCGCAACCGGCAGAGACCCCAGTCAGGGAGGCGAGCTTTCCGGCCCGTAAGCCGCTGTGCTACTGGGACATCTATGTGGATGACTTTTGCGGTTTGGTGCAGGGGAACCAGTGGACCAGGAGAGCTGTCAAAAGGGCCCTGCTCCACTCCCTGGATAAAGTATTTCGGCCGTTGGACAAGCAGGATACTCCGTACAGACAGGAGCCTGCCTCCATTAAGAAGCTTAAGAAAGGGGATGCAACATGGACAACATCAAAGGTGATACTGGGATGGCTTATCGACACCACTACCAAGACTATTAGCCTGCCACCTCACCGGGTGGCAAGGCTGCAGGAACTGCTCCAAGCCATTCAGCCCACCCAAAAATATGCAAAGGTGGCTGACTGGCATAAGTTACTAGGGGAGTTAAGATCCATGTCCCTAGCACTACCTGGTTCCTTGGGCCTGTTCTCCATGCTGCAGGAAGCTTTCTGCCACCAGGAAAAGGGCCGTAACCGGCTGCGACTCACTCGGGCCCTCCATGGTTTCCTACAAGACTTCCAGTGGTTAGCCAAAGATATAGCGAGCAGGCCCACTCGCATAGCCAAACTGGTACCAGATCTATGGCCAGCCACCATTGGGGCTTGTGATGCAGCGGGCGATGGGATGGGAGGAGTGCACTTCATCCCCTTGCCAGACGGACGAATCCAGCCGTTGTACTGGAGAGCTCCGTTCCCAGCCTGGATTCGCCGTGACTTGGTCTCCTTTGCTAATCCAGAAGGAAAAATCACCAACAGTGAGCTTGAACTGGCAGGATCCATAGCCCATATCGACATACTGGCTCAAGCCGCAGCTGTTGGGGAACGCACAGTCCACAACCTCTACGATAACACCGCAACAGTGCACTGGCAGCGAAAGGGAGCAGCTACGACTCCAGGACCGGTAGCATACCTCCTGAGACTGCAGTCCCTTCACCAGCGGCTCTTTCGATATGTCCCCAGACATGATTACATCCCAGGGCCCGCGAATACTATGGCAGATACCCTTTCCTGGGCCTGGCACCTCTCCGACTCACAGTTGCTTGCCTATTTCAACCGTTTCTTCCCTCAGAGCTTGCCCTGGCAAAGCTGCCGGCTCAGAAAGCCCATGTATTCCGCACTGATCTTAGCCTTGTCCAAACGGAGATGCGATCCAGTGTTACTGCTGGATATGCCAAGAAAAAGGATGCCCATTGGGAATGCTGGTTTCACTACTGCATGTCACACAAATTGGATCCATTCCTCCGGACTACCAAAGACCCAGTCCTGTACCTGCAAGTCTTTGGAGCCAGGTACCAAGATGGGAGACTGTCCCCCAGCGGCAAGCGTGCACGAGCTCATACAGTATGTGACGCCATCCGTTCAGTGGGCCAGAAGATCACCAGGATGGGGGCCCAAGATCCCCGACTCAACCAGTTTGGTGCAATAGATTACCGTATCACTTCACAACTGCGGGCCTATCGCAGAAGGGACACCCCCCCCCGCTCGAGTGAAGCCGGTCCCTATTACTATTGTCATACACACACTAAACTTTGCCTATCACCAAAGCCCTACACCGCAACGACAGGCTGTTGCCAATATGATCTGCATAGCATTCTTCTTCTGTCTCAGACCAGGGGAATACACAGGAACCACATCAGATGACCAAGCCTTCTCCCTAGATGATATCACCTTCTTTGTGGGTACTCGCCGGCTGTCGTCCGCCGCAGCCTCCGACGCGGATATCAGTGCCGCCACTTCAATCCAGCTCACTTTCACCACACAGAAAAATGGCATTAAAGGGGATGTTATCGCACATGCCCGCAGCACAGACCCCCTGTGCTGCCCCGTTACAGCAGTGATACGGCAATTCCTCCTGCATAGGCACCACTCCACCACCTTTGATGGCTCCGTCAAACTGGCCAGTTTTTACGACGCCACCAGAGGGACCAACGTACGGATCACATCCACGATGATCACGACGACCATGCGATGGCATGCAGCCATCTTGCAACACACCACGGGCATTGCCCCGGCTTCCCTCAGTGCCCGCTCCTTGCGGGCCGGAGGAGCCATGGCCCTTCTCCAGGGCCAATGTGACTCCAATGTCATTAAACTCCTCGCGCGTTGGCACAGCGATGCCATGATGCGATACCTCCATCAACAATCAGTCCCCTTGTTCCGAAACCTTGCCTCCCTCATGTTCAACAATGGCACCTACAGCTTCCTTCCCGAAGAATCTGTTCCCTCAGCTTCGTAGCGCCCTGGGCTTTGCCACGGCGCTTCGCCCGTCGCACCCTGCGGCTTGCCCAGGGCGCTGGAGCTGCGGCGCCTCCCACCCACGCTTTGCTCCCACCCGTTGGCCTGTGGCCCATTGGCAGCAGCTAGTAGTTACAGTATGCGTGTGCTGGTGGTGTAGGATCAGCAGGCTTACGGCTGCTGCAGCTTCCCCTCCCTTCCAAGCCTTAACCCTAAAGGGGGAAGGCCCGACACGTGGAAGAGGATTGGGGTTGCTGCAGTTTCCCATAGGACCTGCTAAACCCACCAACACAGTCTATACCAAGTAACCCTAGAGTTCATGGGAAACCACACGTAGGGCTCGTTACAGAGGCTGTTTCATGTAAGGAAACAGTCACCTGTCATTTCTTGTCACCTGTCAACGCCACATAAGATATGTAAGTATATTACGTACTCCTGTACATACAGTAATACATACAGTAATACTGTAGACTGTAGATGACGATCATTGATATTTCCGTGCGAGGTACGTACGACAAAATATTTTCTAGTCGTGCTTCGATCAATGATGTCGCAGTCGCACGGTACGAACAGTGCGATAGGTTGTCTATCAGTTTACAGAAATTACTCCTGAATATTTAACTGGAATTGGGATTAGTTGTCGTCTTCAATGCCGTATTTATGGCTTTAATCCTAACAACTGTCAGTAAGCAAGAAACAATCCACAGCGTTGCGGCTTTCTGACTTCAAAAGAATCTCGGATACCGCATCGGCACACTGCTGTTTCAACTAATGATCCTTCTGATACCGTGGTTTACATAACAGACGCACCGTACAGAAATGGTTCTGGAGAAAAATGCAAAATCGTCCAGGATTTCGTGCGTGATGTTTGCCGACCCAGAACTCCCGACCGCGGTTCCCGCTCATCTCTCCTCACCGTAAAAACCACACCCCGTCTGATTCGGTGGCGAACCGAGGAAGGGCCACTTTCGTTCGATGTAGTGAGTGCAGTACGTATTGTACTGTAGGGTGATTCTGTCTTCGATACATCGAACTAATGTATCTTTCCAGTAGATCGTAGAGTAAAGCACAATCGGTTCCGGTACGAGTACCAGTACTTGAAGCTCCTCTGAAAGCACACACACAATCCCCTTGGTTGGTCTTCTTCATAGACAAGAAGAAAACAAACTGGCAACAAAGAAACAATATTGTAAGTTGTTGCAATAGCTACACCATCACATAGCACACAGCACCAAGCGAGAAAACACAATACTATTGTGCAACTATCCCCGGCTACTAGGCCAGAACAAATCGTGYGATCAAAACTAGTTGGAAAGGTGAGAAAGTGGTGATACCTATCTGGTGGAATTGGTTTTATCTGAACCATTCTTCTTTCGCTGCTGCTTTGAACCACCCGGCGCTCCCTGACATAGATCGAGATTGTCTCTTTCGCTTGCTTGGCTTTGAAACCGTTCTTGTATGGCTTCTCATAACAGATTCGAAGTTCTTTGGAGCAGAGATTCACATAACAGCAGCAAAACCCAACCAAGCGCTCTCCACTATGGATCTCAACGACGACAAAGGCAGAAGCAGCGGCCTACCGCAAACGACAACGAAGAAACCGCCTCCCCAACGGCAGAGTCGTAACTACCGCTCCGACCAAGAGGAAGAAAAGAAAAGCTCCGGCAACGAAGACATCGAGGTTGCCATCAACGACGGCCGCTCCATCCTTTCTTCCAGCACCACCGCCACCACGAAAACAGCTGCAGCCGCAGCCCTTTTGGATCAACAGATCGAGGGGCAGCGCCAGAAGGGAGTCAACAACTTTGATGACAATGCCGGCGGCAAGTCTCGCCCCGATGCCGATGCCGACCGTGCATTCAAACAGAAAGCCAAGGCCGCAAGGATGAGTGCGGTTTCCTCGGGTGCCTACCGAAAGCCCCCGCCACCTGGTTCCGTTGCTGCTCCTGCTTCTACTGCAGCGGTTGCTACGGCTCGGGACATGTCGGACGCCATGGCCAAGTCCCGAGGCCGTCGGAATGCAGGCGCCAAGAACCAACAAAAGCGACCCGTGCCCGCCCATCTCCGGGACTCTTCCACCGGTGGACACCGCAACGGCGGCAACACCGGCAGCAAGAACCAGACCAACACCACCAAACTGGAACGATTGGAAGAAGAAGTCGCGGCCAAGGCAAGGGGCAAGGCACCCACTTCCGCTGGCGCGAGAGCGTCGGTCACCAAGCGGAACCCTCCAGGCCTCTCCCCGAACAGATCGCAATCCGAAGCCTCGTCGCCCGGAAGCAGCTTCACGGCCGTCAAACGCATGAACCGAATGGAGGCAGACATTGCCGCCAAGGAACAGTCCCGTGCCAGTCGGGGTTCGGGGGATCGGCCCGCCGGCAAGCGCCTGGATCGGCTGGAAGCCGACGTGGCCGCCAAGGAACGGGCCAAGGCCAGCCGTGTCACCGGGAAGAAGGCGAGTGCGATTGCCAGGAAGCTTGCCAAGAACCAGCAGCAACGCGGTGCTCCGGCAACGGTWCCGGGGGCGGTTTCTTCCACCGAAGGTGGCGGCCGAGCCGCTCTCCTCGCCAAGAAGAAGAGGAACGTTGCTGCTTCCGTTGCTGCCACGGGAACTTCCGAAGGTGCTGCTTCGTCCAAGCTCAAGAAAGCCCCTCCCTCCCACGGAGTGAACCACCTCGTCGGTGGCGAGAAACAACCCAAGCACGAATCTCCGGATGCTTCCGATGGTGGTGCCGGTGGTCCGACGAACGTACCTCCCGGAACGGGTGGCACGGAGGTCGGGGGTCGCTACGAAAGTGATAGCAACAACGGCCTGGCGGTGGCCGTTGCTGTTCGCGAGAACGAGGACGTTTTCATTCCCTCCGCTGTCGAATACGACCCGGATGCCATCAAGTATCCCGTGTACAAGAACCAACGCGTGCGCGTATATGGCCTCTTGTTCTGCATCTTGCTCATCATCGTTACCGCCTGCACGATCGGGGTCTTGACCATTCTACAGAGAGAGGACGACGAGCAGCACCATGTACCTACCGAGTCCCCGACGTGTGCCCGCTGCACCTTGGATTATATCGAACAACTGGAACTGGAAGTTGGATCGCAAAAACTCAACGACCCCGAGTCTCCGGAATACCTTGCCAAGGAATGGATCATACACGAGGACGAGATGCAGCTCTTGCCTACGGACCTCAATTTTATTCAGCGGTTTATCATGGCCGCCTTCTACTTTGATACACACCAAGTGGCCCCGTGGCGGTCGTGCAACCAGCAGAGTATCGATCTTGCCGACAACGAGACCGAAAAATGTGACTTTTTAAAGCTGTCGGGCATCAAACCACTGGTATTCGAAGCATGTGAGTATTTTGGTGATCGCGCTCCC